TTTTCTGCGAAAAACCAGTGCAAGTTAAACCTTTAGCATGCACAATGTTCAGTAAATATTTCTAAGGCAGCATGGTGTAGTTTATATATAATATATATGATATTTCAACAAATGAATTCAAAACTGGTAAATAGTCTTCTGAACATAAAATTGTTCACACTATGGTGAATATATCTAGACTATGAAGTAAGGGCGGGGGGGGGGAGGGGGGGTTATTGCTACTGACACCACTCAATGTTTAATTTTAAAATAACAAACCCGGAAGGAAATCGTATACACAAGGGCGTTCCATGATAAAGAAAGCCTACTGAAGAGGACAATGACTAAATGTTCATCCATTGTTTAACCTGTCATAGTAAGGTGAATTAAAGGGGCATGGACACAGATTTGACGTTAATATTTTCTAAAATTGTCAGTAAAATATAATGGCTCATATATTCCTAGAGTATTTCACACAAAATAATTATAAGTGTGTGTATAAAAACTTGTTTTATCTGGAAATTATTAAAACTACGAATTTCTGGACTCGTTTGATTGACACCCATCATTGCACTTTCACGAAGTAAATTTTATCCCTAATATTTCAGAAAAGTGGACAATTTTGTTGTATGTTAATAAAAACCATTAAAATTATAAACAAGAAAATTCAGAAAGGTGAGAAAGCAATACCAGCTCACCAGTGTTGCCAGTCCGTGCTCAGTGATATATGAAGAGTAAACAGATTGAACACACCCGGTAAAACGTAAACATTAACAATAACGGAGGTCGTTCTCGTGTTTAGAAACATAGGTGTTTGAAATGATGTCTTGAAGAATGTTGTTTTTGTCTTTAAAATTTAAGAATTTTTTCATGTAAGTTCAATTTATTAAAATAGGGTTATTTTTTGAATAAAAATAGAAATTCAAATTTGTTCACAAAAACGGCAATGCAACTGTGTCAAGGTCCCTTTAAAAGGGTTACACTGTTTATTAATTAAATAAAATGTATAGTGCACTTTGCAGAGATATTTGAGCACATAAAATGTATTTTGTTCATTAGCTTTGAAGGATTCAATTCATTCAATACCGTACACAAGTTTGTATTGTGAGGTTCTAAATATACTGTCTCTGTACATATTTTCTGTCTCTTTTTATACTTATAATATTTTTAATACATTTGCATTTTGCCTTACCATCATTTTTACATACATATAATAGGTTAATATCGATATATCGATATTTGCTGGAACATCGAAAAACGTAGACATATTTAGGGTGATTCGTGATCTGCCTTGAGATTCAGCATCGACGATTTCAGACCAAGTTAGATCACAATCATGTTTCTCGTGGCCCGATTTTCAGCAATTTCATTTTTTAATGATTCTAAAACAGGAAATGTAATTAAAAAGTATTAATTATTTTTTTTTCCACTGTTTTCCTTCTCACATCGAATAAATGTATTGATTGTTTAAATGGAACTATCCGAATGAAAGGTTTGGTGCATTTACGATAGAATGAGTTGTTAAGAAATAAGCATACTACGTTATCCAAAGGAAAATACAGAAGAATAGAAAATGTTAAAAAAGGTTATTTCGATAGAATAAATCAACAGACAATATTGCGTTTGGAAGCTTTTGACTAGAAATGCATAACTATTCAATGTAAACGATTATAATTTGATTGATCAATCAAACAATACTGCCTTGAACCAACTGGAGTTGCGGAAACTGACGACATTAACCGAAAGCCGAAAATAAAAAAAATCGTTTGAGTTATCTATCTTGCATTTATTCTATACATTTCCATAACAAGACTTAACTCATAACCTAGCCTCGAGTCGGATTAACTTGAATTATCCTAGGTAAGTATTAATCTTCGTATCATTTAATTTCATTTTCGATTTGACAGTGAGATCCGAGTTTCCGATCATCACATTGTAAATTCCATCTATCTCTGATGCTGATGACGTAGTAAGCGGTGCACTTTTTATCTTGCGTATTAAAACACAATGAGTTTTACGTTACATAATCGACCCCAAAAATTCGTTATATTATCATGCTTTATAACGGAGGGGTATATGATTAAGTCTCGTTTTGTTGACAGACACAGATCATCATATCGAACTCGGCGCTTTGGGTCTCTTTTGACCTGAAGATCCGCAAATCCGCAATGTGATCTGGCTTTTTGAATCAAGAGTTTTAATGTTATTTACACTAAAATCCAGGCTTACAAAAATTTGTCTTTTTTTTTTTTTTTTTTTTTTTTTTTTTTTTTTTTTTGAATTGTGTACTTGACTAACCTGAATGCATTTTAAAAGAAATATCAGAGATCAAGTCTTTTAATTTTTAGAATAAGGAGACTTCTATAATAATTGATTCCTAAAGTATCTATTTCTATTCAATATGTGTGCTGTTTGCTTTCATTATTTTTCATTATTCCTTTATATTCAAATCATTGAGAGTTTAGATTTGAATAATCTTAAATCTTTTAAGAAAAAAATGTGCATTTATCAATAATTACTTTCATCTTTTGCACATGGTATATATACAATATAAATCGGTGAATAAAGCATAAAACGCGATCCCCCGGCAATTCATGAGGTGGATCTGGTGCCTAGGAGGAGTAAGCATCCCCGGTCGAACGGTCACATCCGCTGTTAACCCTATGTATAAATCAGGTAGATGGAACATTCCGTAGTCGAATTCAGTATTTAAAGAAGGACCTACATGTAACATGTTTGAAAATATCGAAAATTGTGATTTATTTATCCTTTGTTTTTGAGTCTGTTTTAAGAAAACAAGATACAAGTAAGAAATGTGTTTTCTTGCCAATTGAAAGCATGATACATAATGTACATGTGTAAGTAAGTGTCAAATCGCCATTGGGTATGACTAGCAGAAAGACCACGCATATTTTGGGGCATCAATTTCATTCATCACTGGCGATGCTGGTAAAGAAAAACACTTATATGAAGTCCGATCTTCGGACTTCCAATGTACATGTACTTGTTTTAAGAAATATGCTAATAATTTTTTCGATTTAATTTTAAACAAATCTAAGGTAGTCACTCGGGTTTTATGCATGATTTCTGTAAAAACGCTTACAAAAAAAATAATTTGAAATAGTGAAAGTGTTTTTTCATTAATAAAGAGAATAAATTCGGCAAGTCAATGAAAATAACATAAACAAAAGTATACTACTAGGCAAAGATTAAATATAAATCGTAAAATCTATTTTTAGCTAAGTCTGGCCAAAAAAAAAAAAAAAAAAAAAAAAATAAGCCATTCAACTCAATTAACACATGATATACATGTAATTTCTATTAAAACATACGGAAACAAATAAGAATTAATTAAGGAATGAATTTAATAACTAAGCGGTTTATAAAAAAGCGCTAACTGTCCCAACCCAGGTCAGACCAGTATAACTTGGGTCGCTGTTAAATTCATTCCTTATAATTTAATTTTTCATTATTAAGTGTAAAAAAAATAAGACAATTTCTCTTTCAAAAAAGCCTTCAAATTATACGTATTTTAAATATAACGTCAAGCGGGTTGATACGTTTTTGACGTAAGTCATTGTGACGTAGGCAACCCCGGTAATACGATATAGTCTATTTTTTTTTTTATCCAATCAAATTACGCGTTACAGCCGAAACTAAATTATTTACAGATAATTAGCAAATTGGTTTAATTTGGTGTAACATAAACCAATGAACTAAATTTATTGTAAAATCAATATATTACATGTGATAAATTATTATTTAGTGTAAAGGGTATTTCCTTGTATAATTTTTCTTTGATTGTTTGTTCTCTGATTTGAGTGTTTTAATCCTGTTAACAATTCAGAAATAACAGTCGCATAAGAATTTTACGTGTGCATGTAAATCATATTTCTGTATTCTTACCAGAATTACAGGCATCAAATCAAATTCCAATAAGGCTTGGTACACACGTAGACTGCATTTAGATTAATTATTCTATTTTTGTTTGTTTGTTTGTTTTAGACAAACAATGGTGTCATGGTTACTAAAAATAGAACTTCCGCGAATGTCGTTCAAAACATTGGGCACAGTATCGTAGAGGCTGTTTTTCCTTACCTTGCCGTAAAAAAAAAAAAAAAATCGACGTTGCAAACTTGAAATTCCTTTTATTTCAGTGTACGTTTTATTCCATTCTACAATTACAGGTTCAATAAGATGTTTAAAATTTTATCATGGTTAGTATATGGTCGACACATCTGAATATGTAGTATTACCGAGTATGAACGAAAATACATTGTATTATGCATATCTTCACTCTCAGAGAGAAAACCAAAGATCTGCGTCAAAATAATTTTGAAAAAAATGGATGTCTTTTTGTGCTGATGGCTTGAAACTTGCATAGGTATTAAACACGCATGAGCCAAATTTTCTTTTTTCAGTACTTAAGTAAACATCTAACCTTAGAGGGAAAATAGAAATAAAATGGTCAAGTAACCAGAGATACGCTAGTATCATGAAAAAATAAATGAAAATGATAAAAAGAAAATCGTGCGATGGAAGCTTTTGAAAACGAAAACTATGTTGAAGTACAACAGTTATTAAATATGTGTAAACAAATCTCCCTTTCGCTGTTGCAGAAGCAAATGTTAATCTTTAAAGCGAAAACATCTTTTGGAATATGAATACTTTGAATGTTGTTGCAGATTAAATAATCATATTGTTACAATAAAAATAGTATTTTCAAATGTCAGAAAGGTTCTACCTGTGCTCATTGATTCAGTGGCATAATTATGATTTAAATCGTTTTACTAGAATATTGCATATCTTTTTCATGGTCATTTAATAATCAAAGATTTCAAAAGTTTGTAAAATAAGTTCGGTATACACTAACTTTTTAGATTTAAGAAAAGGTTTGAACTGAATGAAATGGACCCGACAACAAAACCAACTGAATCATTTAATCAGTCATTTTTTGTGTATCAGAACGCATATTTCATTAAAAAAATCTTGTAAATCGTACTTTACTCCTGGCTCTCTGTCTATCTGTCTGTCAGTTTATCAGGTGAATCAATATCTTCCATTTTTGTTGTCTGCATCATTGCATCGATTTCGATCCTTTCCCTCTTTGATGTAAATCATATACGATACTAATTCTGATGAACCACATGCGGATATCGACAAATTATGTCTCTTCAGTGATGCTCATGCCGAAACATTGGAAACCCGAAATATTTTATTAAAATAAATCAAAGAGTTGTGAATAGGGGGTGCCAAAAACTGGAGCCTACATTGAAGGATCAGAGCTACGCATAAGGGAGATAGTGGACACGAGTTACAATTAAGAATAGTATGCATTATTATACTGTCTTTAGGACATTTCGCTAAAATACTTTTAATATATATGCGTCCGATTCAAAGTCTCTACCATACAAAAATTTTCTTTTCCATTATATACAAGTCCACAGTTCATTATATATATATACATATATTTCCTAGTTCCTCCAGCATTTTAAGAGTTTGTTTTAGAGGTTTCCCGAATGCAAAGCAAAATTTTATAGGTACTCGCTGCTCCGTGACGTCCTTCGACGTCATGCTTGTTTGCTTTGTTTAATCAAGTCTATCTGTCTTTAGAAATTCATATCTTTCAAACGAAGCGATGTATGACATTACATTTAAGCATCTGAAGTAATAAAACAATAATAAATTTAAACATTTAAATTTTATTTTGTTTAAGCACCATTTATTGGAGGTATGGCTATAAACATTATAAAATGTAAAGTTAGTAAATAACTCAATTTTGACCCTGCTCCTTGAACCCATTTTGCTGTCTTAAATCTTTGATAATTTTGATATATATCAAGATAAATTCCAATTGATTTACTCAAATTATTTGAATCTGCTGTTAAATATGTGTAATAAATCTGTTTGTAATAATGACGTTAACGAGGTTGGATCCTGATATTTAAAGTCTTAAACTTTTTTTGTCAAGTATATTTTTAGTTTCTACACATATAGCTTAATTAAAAATCAAAACAAAAAATGGGGGTCAATATACTTCTTTCGGCGCTACATTACATTTAATTTGACCTTTTTGCACTGATATTTGTGTCTTAATCAAAAATCACATCTTCGACGTTTTCCCTCCAAAGTTTTGATCCAAATAAATCATGGGACAAAATAAACTATTAGTCTATTTAAAAAAAGACGCATTAAAATTGTGACTAAGAAAAAGTTTCAAATTGCTTCGCATAATGAATTATTTGACCTTTCTGCACTCACAAAATGTGATTTTTCTGGAAATAAAAATTTAAAAAGCAAGAAAATTATTTTAAAGTCTTAACCTTTTGCTGAATTTAAGCAGATTGATCAAAGTTATCTTATATATTCAGGAAAGAAAAACAAAAGTGGGGGTCTATGATCTAAATTTTTAGATATTACTAAAAAAGTGTTAATTTTATGTTAAAATTGGCTCAATTTTTTTCCTGGACTTTCAGAATATATTAACTATATTTGTCACAATATAATGAAAGAATTCATAAGAAATAATTTATTAGCTATTTCAGAGCCAGCATAAAACATTTCACTGCAAAAAAAAAAAAAAAGCTCTATGTGCAACCAGCATGGAAAAATAGTAATCTAAACTTAACAGTACTGTATATATTTCAAAAGGGAAAAATTGATCATTTTCTTTTAAAAAACCTTCCGCCACAAAATATAGTTCCTGGCTTAATCCTATTTTAATGGAATTTCATCGCGGTTTTTTCATTGGATATAGTTTAATTTGCATTGTAGAATCCAGATTCAATGTTAGAACATAAAAAATGATGCAGAATTTTAGAAATAAAGGTCCTGAGCAAAATCTGCTCAAAAGCTCAGGATCGAACGTCCTTAAATAAAAAAGTTATGACAAAAGTCCACGAACTTTTTGAATGACCCTCGTAAAATAAACCATTTTTTCCCTAAAAATTACAATCATTTGATTTCAATGTTTCCCCAAGCCTAGAACTTAACGCTGTGTATTCTTCCGCGTCTTCATCCGGGCATTCCAGGTAGGACTGACTCTCAGTAAGATCCATCAAAAATAGTTGAACATTTTTCATGGTCTTTTTTCTTCAAGATTATAAGAAACAAAACATTTCTACAGTTTCGAGAATAAATGGCTTCCATTCTTGTCGTATTTAATCCAAACATACACAAATAGGAATCTAGGAAGTGTGACGTCATAATACAGACAGTTCGTCTGCTATAGTGAATGTCATTTATAATATTGTCCATGATTTCTGTACTATGGATAAAATCTCTATGATGAATGCACAATCCTAAGTCATATTCATTCTCTAGTTTACGGATGATATTAAAGACAATCTTCTATAATCTTTATTTGCATTGGAAATGAAAACAAAACGACAAGTAATATTCCTGATAATATCTTCATCAAAGATCCGACGATGATACTTCTCTTCTGCGACATAATACATATACCTGAGCTTCCACCTATATCTAAAGAGGATTCGACTCACTGTTGTTTTTTTAATGTAGCGATTATCAATGACGTCGTCAATACTATGATACATGTACGAGTATAAGAAGAACAGTTTTTTTTTCTCCATTTTCTGAAGCAAATATCCAATCTCCTTCAAGGGATATTCTTTAATATTTTCAAATTCACCAGTGTAGTTCTCCAACATAAAAAAAGCATTAAAAGTTTCTGAGTTATGTATCCACTTAACCAAATCCAGATTTTCGCAAGAACACTTGAGTTGATTGCCCAACAGATTAAAAACTTTCTTTTTTGCTAGTCAGGGATTTCCGTGCAGAATAACCTAGATGAGTTAACCGATTAAACGATAGGTCTAATAGGGATAAATTTCTCATGTAGTTTATCTAAATTGTAAATTCATTTAAATAATTATGACTAATGGTTAAGCATACCAACATGTCGTTCCTTTGGAAAACATCGACCGAAAGGCTGTGTATTCTGTTGAAAGATAAATCTAGCGGTGACATTCGAGTTAGAATTAGATGTAATTCCCTATTTGTATCTATATACTTGTCCGAGGGCATTGTTTGCAAGATTAAAAAATTCAACACCCGTAAAGTTTTTCAAAAATGATTTTGAAATATCACCACAAAAGTTACCTAAAAATCAATATATCGAACATTTTCAATACCTGTTATATGTCCAATTGCCTCATATATGATGTTTCTTTGAGCATATACGTGTGTTAATTTGTTGAAAGGTCCTATGAGTAGTGGGTACCGACATTTTATACAGAATATCATGATAATAAAATTACCGAAGATTAGGGGGCATTTATATTGTATGATTTCAAGATTTTGTGGGATCGTTAAAATAATCAGACATGGATCCCCCTAAAGATATGTCATTGTTGATATCATTGTTACTCTCATTTTTTCTTCATGCAGAAGAGTTAAAGTCAACAATATGAAATCTTTTGTGTCATTCCGTTTTTGTAAAAGTCACTAGTCATTTCCATTCGATGAAATGAGGACTGGAAGCTTACGTTCAGTATCCCCAGACTTTGCAATCCAGCAAATTCCATGATGTAAAGTCTGAAGCTTAACTTATTTTCTGCTAAATTTAGGACACGAAGTGATTTGGGAAGTGAAACTAAAACACATAGTTCAAGACTATTTTTTCTGTTGGACGCTAGGTTCAATTCCTCTAGAAGAGTATGTTTTAAAATTCAACATGATATACTTTGAGAATTTGAGTTACCCCGTACGTGCACTGCAGCTTTTCAAAATTAACGTTTTTATCTGTGAGCTTTTCAAATCATAAGATATGATGGAAATAACCTCAATGGTGAGAACATTATTATTTGAAATATCTAGATCTTCAAGATTTGAGTTTGATTGAAATTTACGAATTTGAATATGGAAGTTTGTTCCAAAATACACTGAAATTCCAAAGTAGTCAAGGAATTATCTAATAATTGTATATAGATAATCTAGGTACATTTGGCTCTTTGGAATATTTTGGGGTATACTCTCAAAGTTATCCCTTGCAAAGTTAATGCAAACGACACTGTTTGGAAAATTTGGCACCTTATTCAGATGAAGACCATTGCCATCAGCAAAAACGTTTCCTCGCGATGTTGTACAATTGCAGTGGTTACCACAGGGAAACACGTACCTTGTTACTGCCTCTATAAGGAAAAATATCAGGTCCAAATTCAGAACTCTGCATATTATCTTTATGCCTGAAAAAATACAAAATGAAAAATAATTTTTTACTCTGTTAAGGTCTTAGAATTTTTTAGTAATTTGCATTATGATAGGGTCGATTTTTTAAAGGAATTGATTTAATTAAAAATTCTTTGGATTTTAAACAAAAATCGCATACTGATTATATACATTATATAGAAAACATTTTGTTGTCTCTATATCTTCTTATCAAAATTACTTCTGATTACTCTATATTACAATACTTTTTTTAAAAAAAATCATTTTCTGATCGATTTTACAGTATCTACCTATACCATTCAGTCAAATGAATTGTCATTGAAGGGACTGGCAAACTCATTCAATGGCAAAGGTCTGCCATTCAGTGAAATATCAGTAATGTTCTAGTTGACTGAATGACAGCGATTCATCTTTAATGTTCAGAATATTAGAACCATTTAAGGATTTATTTAAAGGATAAGTTTAATGATATCATTTTGAAAGCCAATACGTATCTTAAATTAATTGTCATATATTCATTTTAGCATTATAGTGAACACAAATAAGTCACAATAAATATTTCATAAATAAAATGAATTTTTATGGACGTACATGTATAGTGATGTTTGTTTTGGTTTATTATTATTATTATTTTTTTTTTTTTTTTTTTTTTTTTTTTTATTAATATAAAACGTCATAATGCAGACAGTTCGTTTGCTACAGTGAATGGCATTTGTAATATTGTCCATTATACCTGTACCGGGAATAAAATCTCTATGATGAATGCACAAACGTAAGTCATATTTATTCTCTAGCTTACGTACAAGATTAATGACAAATAATCTGTCTTGATCCGTGTAAGAAATGAATGCGTCATAGCGGTATAAGCTTTTCTTGATGTTGACGTCATCAACGATCTCACCTTGATATTTCTCTTTTGCGACATAATACAGATATCTGAGTTTCAATCTGTATCTAAATACGATGCGACTTATCGTTGCTGTTAAAGCAACGATTATCAATGACGTCATCACTACTATAATGAGCGTATATGAAGAACATTTTTTCTCCATTTCCTGAAGTAAATTCTCAATTTCATTCAAAGGATATTCTTTGAAATTTTTAAATTCACAAGAGTAATTCTCCAACATAACAAAATTCAATTTCTTGGAATGATGCATCCACTTTATGAAATTGAGATTTTCGCAAGAGCACTTCAATGGGTTACCCAACAAATTTACATGGACTTCTTTATCCTTTGCTATTGCATTCAAGGCATCTCTTACAGATAATTCCAGAGAACCCAACTGATTGAAAGATAGGTCTAATAGAGATAGATTTTTCATATGGTTAATCTGCACAGTAAATTCATTTAAAGAATTATAACCAAGGTTTAAGTGTTCCAGCATGCTGTTCTTTTGAAAAATAACACTTGAAAAACTATGGATTCTGTTGTAAGACAAGTCTAGGAGTAATAGGCGAGTTTGATATAAGAGTATTTCTCCATTCTTATCCTTTTCGAAAACCTGTCCGAAAGCATTGTTAGAAAGATTCAAAAATTCGATACCTGTAAAATGCTGTAAAAATGATTTTGAAATGTATCCACAAAAGTTACCAGAAAAATCAATATATCGAATATTTTCAATTCCCGTGAATGGTCCAATCACCTCATAAATTATATTCCTTTGGACATATATATGTGTTAGTTTGTTAATGGGTCCAATCGGTATTTTGGGCACGGACATTTTATATAGATTATCATGGAAATAAAGTTTTCGTAGATTTGGCGGCAAATATACCGTGTAGTTTTCTACTCTTGTAGAATCATCAACATATTTAGACATTAACCCACCAAAAGACAGACCTCTGTTAGTGTCATTGTTTTTGCTTCCGGGTATAGAAGAGCCAAGATCAACTCCTTGAATTCTTGTGTCATTGCATTTTTCGAAAAAGTCAACCGTCATGCCCATTTGATGAAATGAGTACTGGAAGCTTATATTAAGTATCTCCAGACTTTTCAGAACAGCAAATTCCATGATGTAAAGTCCAAAGCTTAACTTATTATCTGCTAAATTTAGGACACGAAGTGATTTGGGAAGTGAAACTAAAACACTTAGTTCCAGACTATTAATCCTGTTTGACGCTAGGTTTAACTCCTGTAGATTGGTATTCTTCAAATGGGCAACATGGTTTACTTCAATAATCTGAGAGATTCCGTAAGTGCACTGAAGTTTTTCAAAATTTAACGTTTTTATTCGCGAATCTTTCAAATCAGAAGATATATTAGAAATGACTTCAATTGTAAGAATATCATTATTGGAAATATCAAGATGTTGAAGATTTGAATGTAACTGAAATGTACCAATTTGAATATTGGAAAGTTTGTTCCAAGAGACACTAAAATTCCGAAGTAGTCGGTATCTAACCACAGAGGAATTATCTAATGATTGTATATTGTTATGAGACATATCTAGGTACATTAGGCTCTTTGGAAGGTTTTGGGGTATGCTTTCAAAGTTATTCCTTGCAAAGTTGATGCCAACGACATTATTCGGAAAATCTGGTGCTTTATCCAAATTAAGATCTGTGCAAACAGCAAACATTTTTCCTTTGTATGTTTTACATGTACAGGGATTTCCGGAAAGATATTCAGTTTTATCTCCAGTCACGGAAAACATAAACAAAATGGTTCGGATCAAGATTCTGCTTATAGTCCCCATTCCTGAAAAGAATATAATTATAGGTTAGGACTGGCATTTCGATCAGCATCGATATAACTTTATATATTGGAGTGGGTTTTCTTCTTTATAATTGCAGATACATAGTGGAATCGTTAAGATGCTGTAAACGTATAACGTTTGACTGTGTTTTCTTTTTAGCAATTGCCGCTTATTCAAGTACAACGCTAAATGTCTTGCACATATATACATAAATAAGAACATTTAGAAATGTGCTAAATCAAACAAACGCTAACTTGTACAAAAATCAAATTCCTCCGAATATCGTACACTCTAAGTGTAATATATTTACAGTACATATTGAAATCAATTTCTTTTTTCTTTATCCCTCATCTTTCTTAGTTTTTAAGTCTCCTTCCAAATTGGGAAATGAAACGAAACCAATGATTTCTAAAATTTACCTTTGATTAATTTACTCTAGACAAAACACGTAAAATCTTACCTTTTAGCTTTATCATCCTCAATGATTTTTTTCCCATTGAAGTGATTAGGAAGTTTTTTTTTCCCTCGGACAAGCACGGAAAATAAGTTTCAATTTTTTGTCTCACTCATCTTTTAATTTTAATTGGTTTCTACATTCTATTTTTTTTAATTACATTTGCATTGTATCTTCCTTACACTACCTATACCTTCTTTCTCCTAATGGTACGAATTCAGCTTTTTATCATATTTAAGGAAACGAATTATATCATAAAAGGCAATAATAACAGGAACTGCATTGTTTTCGAAATGTTATTTATTTGTTCCTTCTTTATCATCCAGGTCCATCCTGCTTTATTTTTGTGGTAAAGCTGACTTGTATAACGACCTTATTTCTTCTTTGTGGTTTTAGCTGGGTAATTATAAATCTGCTATTGACTTTATTATTAAACCTGTTCACAAGCATTTAAATGTAAAAATATACCGTGCTTTAAGCTCAAGAGGCATTAAATCGTACAGAAGTAGCTTATTTAGTGTCAATATTGTAATCGATGTCCAATAGCAAAAAAAAAACAAGGCAGGTGAAAAAAGTTTGTTAACATTGACAAATCTTGGGTTTTCAAGAATTTTCAGAGAAAAAACTCACACCGTTAATTATATATTTAGGCATTATTTATGGAGATTCAGAACTCTTGATATAATTTTAAAATGGTAAATTTTAGCTCAGGAATATAATTTGCGAGGATTGGAGATATACAACCAGTCACTTCATCAATCGTGGTTGTTCAACGTTTAATTTCCTTTTGAAGTTTCAACAAATTAATAATATATGATCCGACTTGGCTTTATATTTCTTTATACATTGAAATGAATATGTATGATTAAAGAATCACTGACTAAGTATTTTCTTCTACAGAGAAGAGATAATTATTTACTTAAACTTCCATGAAAGTCAACGGGTCTTAAGTGCAGAAAAGGAATTAGTTTTTTACTCATCTCAAAATCATGGTAGAATTTAACCTTCCTTATTCTTCAAATTGCATTCATGCTTTTCGAAAACTTAAAGCTCCATGATGCCTTCATGGGAACAAAAAATTGATGAGATGTTCTAAAATAATAATAATGTGTATATGCGTTATAGACAAAATTAGAGTATTTGCTTGAAACTTTCCTCAAGCCTTTGCTCAAAACTTTGTATTATATTAATTTTATTGTCAAGAAGGTAGAATAAATTCGGAAACTTTTTATCATGGTTTTCTTATCTATGGAAAATGAATTTAAAAAATTAGACCAGTTGCAGTAGCCTAGTAGTAGGGTGCTCACTTCGTGATCAGTAGGTACCGGGTTCGATTCTCGTTCCCATGTCAAATTATGCAAAAGTTAATTGTTTAACATAAGGTATGGACGGTTTCTTTGCAATGCTCCTGGCATAAGATTTAAAAGTCAAGTGTCCTTTGGATGAGAATTTTAAAATCAGAGGTAGGCGTTGGCACGATTAAAAAAAAGGAAGAAAGAAAAAAACCTTCATTCATCAATAGCCATGCGTGCCAAGTAAAAGTCTAAATTAGAAACTTTCACCGGTAAATTGTTACTTCTTCTATGAATGAAAAAATCTCGCAAGGGACGTAAAACAAAAAATTAATATAAATTAAATTAAAAGATATAAAAATCAATTAAAAAAAAAAAAAAAAAAAAAAAAAAAAAAAAAAAAAAAAACATTTTTAAGAGTTTTCATTTGTTTTCAGCGAGAATTTCTTATCGTCAACAATTCTAGCCGTTAGTTATAAACTTGTTTAAATATGGAGAAAAACATTATTTTGACTGACCTTCGTTTTTTTTTTCTTATGCAAGAGAACAAATAGATGTATATAAACAATTGAAATGATACGTACACAAAACGTTAGTATATTATCTGTGACATATTTGATATATTTTTTAAAATATTTTATTAATTAAAAGTTAAAATTAAGCACTAGTAAACTGAGATGTCAAATGATTGTAAAACGCAAAATAAATTGCTTTTTTTAATTTTCATCATACAGACAATTTAAAAACATCTTACTCAATCTACAAAAAGTTGACAACATCAAGCAGCGAGGTAAAGATTTAACATTGATAATTTTTACTGTTGAGCCAACTATTTTAGGAGATTATTTATAAATGAGCAAAACACTGTTTAAAAACGTCATTAATAACTAAAGAGAAAATTAATGGCATACACCGGCCCAAGATTTTGGGAGGTCCACCATCGACGCCCTTACTCCATCATCGGATAAGGTGAAGATATGTAATAAAACTATTCATTCTTTAAATTAAATTTCATCCTGTCGCATATTATTGCAATTAACTGCAATTGATATACTGTTAGGATGGAAAGTTAGGAAAAATAGAATAACATAGGTATCATTCTATCTGTCTGTCGATCTGCCACATGCACTTTTTTCCCTAGTGTGTTACTTTGCTACAAAAAAGATAAGAAGCTCTCATTTTCTACAAAGATCGCGCATAGAGTTGTCAAGAACCTCATCCAGGTTATTTGATGACAATTTCTCAAATTTTCTCAAAATGATAAATATTATAGCATTATCATAATCAAGACATTGATTCAAGGAAAAAAAAAAAAAAAACATTGGAATATGTGATCTAGTAAGGTTTATTTCCATTTACATAGTCTGAAAAGTGCCTTTTTTCAAGGTACATGTTTTGCATACTAATTCAGGTCCATTTGGGTATGGTCCAGTTGTTCTTTGCACCAGGGTCCTCCACCAGTAGCTTCATACCAACATTACATGAGTGGAGTTGCCAGATGTACGCACCACCGTGCAGAGTATCCTGATAGCAGACCATCGACAAAGTTTGGAACCTTTTCTTCAATTTCATTTTGGAATTTTGCCTTATCAGTGCATTTGAAATTTTCTCTAGAACTTATTGGAGGATATAGAAGAAAAAAAAAACAGTGTCATACAGTACTGTACAGGATAGTTTGGATACACCTCATATCTGTTGCACACTTGAGCACTCAAGGTCAACCTGCAAAAGGTGTACCAAATATGGAGAAAAGAAGAGTAGGAAAGAAGAGTAGTGAAGATATATAGAGGACAAAATATTCCTATATAATATATTGTCCAGTTTGACCCTTAACCTTTGACCTCGTGACATCAAAAGCAACAGAGGTAATCTACTTCTCAAGGGAAATGAGTGTACTAATTTTGATGTCTGTTAAGCAAGGAGTTTTCAAGTTATTTAATGATTAATACCTACAAACGGTATATCTAAAAAGTAAAAGTATAACCCTTGACCTTTGACCTTGTGACCTCCATATTAAGAGGGGTCATTTACTTATTAGTTGGCATCAGTAGTATATGTTTATTGTCCGTCAAGCAAAGGGTTTTCAAGATAATAAGAGGACAACACTTTGTCTACAGACCGACAAACAGGTGTTAAGCAGTACATGTATGTCCCCTTTTTGAAATGAAATGTTAATATGTTGAATTCTGGTAATTACCCCCTACCCCCACCCCACCCACAAAATACTTAAAATTGATTAAAACAAAAAAAAAGTACGAACTGTTGCTATTTTCAACAACAAAATTTAATTATTAGAAATATTTAACTAAACAAAAAACAGAAATGAAACTCATTCTTGAATAGATGGAAATTTGTGCTTGATTTTGGTGTATTTCGTTGTCATGACAACTGAAATAATATTTTACTTATCATTTATAGAGACTACACCATACCTGCTTTCAAAATATATATACACTGGTAGTTACAAAAGTCACAAGAAATAACCGAAAAAAAAAATGCATTTAAATCTTGATATCAATTTCTCTAGAAATGCTTAAAATCTTTGTTATGAAAGGGGTTAACTGATTCATTAAAGTAAATAGCGTTTCTACAGTTTCACAGAAAAAAAACTTAATACATATAAACGAAAAATAGATACATGTTCTTGCAGAAAAATTTAAATAAAGTTAAAAAATCACACGTTTTACAACACCAGAAGAAAAATACACACATGTAACATGAAAAAAAAAAATTCAAACGAAATAGGATTTTTTTTTCTAAACCAGTGACTAAGTTTATTGTTTAGAACTTCAGGACATAAGAACTAAATGTATGTTTATAATCAATCAATCTTACTCAATTAAGTAAATAGTAATTCTAAACTGAATACACATTGACCATCATTGGAAACCCACAGTCATTGAGTCAATCTTGCATACATTATTGGTCTCAGTAAGTGAATGCAAGATTGCCTGTGGGTTTCCAACAATGATACATGTACATGTCAAACTTTCAATAAGTGCTCCTTATTTACATGTACGTGAGAAGGAGAGAACGTCCACGTGTCTCAAAGAATGTCAGGGTCAGCTAAAATTTTCATATTGCACCAAAAATAAACCCCTTGTGGTGAATACATGTCCTATGGGCATATTTCATGTCTTTATAACTACAGTCAGCTTAGGAAAACAAAGACTA